TGCAGGTCACAGCTCCCAGCTCCATCCCTGCAGGTCACAGCTCCCAGCTCCATCCCTGCAGGTCACAGCTCCCAGCTCCATCCCTGCAGGTCACAGCTCCCAGCTCCATCCCTGCAGGTCACAGCTCCCAGCTCCATCCCTGCAGGTCACAGCTCCCAGCTCCATCCTTCGGGTCACAGCTCCCAGCTCCATCCCTGCAGGTCACAGCTCCCAGCTCCATCCCTGCAGGTCACAGCTCCATCCCTGCAGGTCACAGCTCTTGCCCCCCGGAGCCTCACCCCCCTCACAGGGAAGTTTAATCTAACACCTAACCCAAACCTGCTCTCTTTCAGCTCAAAACCACTCCCCCTTGTCAGACGAAGACAGAAGCAAAAGCCCAAGCACCACAAGCCTTTGCCCAGCACGGCAGGGACCCGCTGAGCCTCTCCAGATGGGATGGCTCCAGGGGGCTCCTAAAGTTCCACATCCCCTTCTTTAGGACGAGCCCATCGTGCTGCCCACAGGAGGATGTGTCTCTTGGCACCCCGTGTCCCAGGCTGCCCTCCCCAGAACCAGCCAGTTCCCTGCTGGAGGGAATTTTCTTTCAAGCATTTGTCCCTGTGGGGAGCAGACTCGGTGCTCATTCCTGCACTCTCTGCCACGCTTCAGCTGTCCCTTCCAAAAGGAACATTTTAAATTAATATTAATACTCTGCATCATGTCAGACCTTCTCCTGCATTTCTGCTCTCTCCCGGAGCACCTTCCCTGCCTGTCCCACCCCAGCAGTGAGGTGATTCCACAGGCAGGGCGGGAGCTGCCGGGTGTTCCTGAGTTCTGCTGGGGCTGTAATGGGTTGGTGACGCTGTTACATTCACGAGTGTTTCAGGAGAAAGAAAAAGGCTACTGGTGTTCATATGCTCTTGCTGTATTATTTAAGAGAAGCCATTTGAGAACACAGGAGAAGCAGAGTCTGCTCCCAAAAGGAGGGAAAATAATGGAGGGGAATATTTGCAAAAAGCTCAGTTAAGTAAATATTTTATGCCAAATAATGTTACGGCTTTTGAATGATGCATGCAACAGAGTTGAAAGGAGGTGAGGCAGGGAGCGAGGAGCACGTGGTGAGCATGGAGGTGTCGCTGAGGGGAGAACGAGGTGCCTTGGGCAGCGCCTCTCACCCTGGCAGGGCTGTGCCGCTTGCAGGAACCGCACGGGAGAAAAGCACCCCTGCATGGGAGCAAAGAACGGGCAGAGAGCAGGCAGAGGCACTGCCCCGGCCCAGGGGGAAGGGACAGGCAGGGAGAGCAGGAGAGAGGGCAGGAGAGCAGGGCACGGAGGAGGAGTTTCTCTGGGCAGAGGAATTCTCCTCCCGGCAGGCGCAGGGTGAGCAGCTGGCATGAGGGAAGCACAGAGAGGAGTAAAATACCATTAAGTGTAATAAGAAATGTACTTAATCAATGAGCTCTGCAGCTGAGGATCAATGAGGGGCAGACACAGCCATTAGCTAAGAAAGCTGAGGAAGAGCCGCAGGCCCAGATGGAGCGGTCGATGCCAGGATTAACCAAGCTGTCCCAGGTGGAGAGCAGAGCCAGGCTGCAGCCACAAGGCTGGCCCTGCCCTGCTCCACAGGGCTCAGACGTCACCAAGGAGCAGAAAGAGGAGCCCAGGCTGCTGAGGAGCCTCAGGCTGAACCCTGGGAATCACCACAAGTATTCAATAGCAGAGACCAGGGAATGGGACCAGACCCCCCTCATCACCACCCAAGGACATCACTTGGCTGCAGAGAGCAAGAGACAGAGTTTTCCTCCCTGCTCTCATCCTTTTGTCTCTCTCCTCACCTTGGGTGCTGGCCAGATCCCTCCCCAAGGACCCCACCTGTGAGGAGCTGGCTCAGCCTGGAGCAGCTCACGCTCCCGAGGAGGGGCTGCCCCAGCCCGGGGAAGCAGAGCTGCTGCCGAGTCAGGGCTTGGCCAGCCCCAGCCTTGAGCGGTGCCCGGGTGTCCCCCGAGCCTGGAGCCACCCGGCTGAGTCCCCGCACGGCTTCCTCAACAGAGAGGCTTGATTTTCAACCCATGAGCAAATTTAGCACTGGGGAAGGCAGACAGCAAGTGGGTACAGCCTCTGGGGCTCTGACAACGCTGCCAGTGACTCAGCCTTGGAGAGGAGACCCTCCCTGGGCTCCCGACCCTTCCCTGCAGGGGCTGGGGGACGGGGCCATTTCGGGGGTCTCTCCAGTCTCCCCCACGCTGGACAGTGAGTCCAGCCCCGCAGACAGATGTGCCGGGACCCCACGGCTCCCGCATGGGCTCCCGCAGGCACCAAGGCAGCAGCTGCTCGGGGCAAGCCTCAAACTCCTGCCTGCTGCTACCGGCAGCCGGGTCCCGCCCGAAGAGCCCCCCGCAGCACTCAAAGCTTCTTTTCCCACCTCCTTCCTCTTTTCCAGCCCTTCCAAGCAGCTTGGCTGGAGCCCCTTCCTCCCTCCATCTGCCTCAGAGCTCGGGCCAAGTCCGGGGCTGCTCCTGGTTCCGCACAAGAGCCCGTGAGCGCTGCTCGGTGCCTCCCATCCCCAGCAGCCCCACGGGCTCCCCTTCGGTCCCCCCAGAGCCCGCAGCTGCAGCAGCAGCCTTTAAGCACACGGTGCTGGCACAGAGGTTTTGGTAACGCTGCTGAGCTCAGGCTGCCCTCGGTGCTGAGCGGCCGCCTGCCCCAGCACTGCCCCAGGGAGCTGCAGGGCTGCCCACGGGGTGCTGAGCACATCACTCTTCCAAAGGCTGGAAACAGGCTGGGACACCAGGCACGACAGTTCCACTGCCAGGAGGTTTCTCTGGGCTCGTGTTCTCTATTTTTAGCCCCTTCATCAGTCTCCACAGAGCTAATTGGTGCACAAGTGCAGGATGGACAGTGCCAGCCCCCCAGGCCTTTGCAGGGACAGGGCTGACAGCTTGTGCAGCCCTTGGAGCTCCTTCCCCGTTCTCAGGAGTGTTTCCAAGGATGCAGGATTGGTGCTGCCAGCACGGAGCTGCTGCTCCAGAGGATGCTGAGCAGGGACATGGTGGGCCCAGAGCAGCTATGGCCCCTTGGGCACATCCCCACACAAAACCAGAGCCTGGGGCGTTGTTAGTGCAAAGTCAGCCCTTTTATAGCTGGAGCTTGCAGTGTCCCCAGGCAGTGTGGCCAAAGGTGGTGTTCTTTATCTGTGCCTCATGCTCCTCAGATACCGATATCAAAATGTGCCTTGAAACACTCCTGACATCAAATATTCCTCGGAGATTAGTGCAGTGCTTCCTCTTGGCTCGTCTCTTCGCTCCCGGAGGAGCCGATGAACACGATACGTTATCAGGACCTTCCCCGCTCTGTTAGCACAGGCACAGGCACTTGGTGACTCACCTCAGAACAGCACACTGAATATTTAGGACTTTCCCTGAGCTTGGTAAGCGATAACATCTTTATCATGAGCCCTTTAAACCCTCAGTGCTGCCAGGAGGCTCTGTCCTCACTGAAGGACAACATCGAACCCAGGGCAGCATGTAAGGAATAGATAAAAAATAGTTCCTTGAGTAAACATCAGTGCTGGGCTGGGAGAGGGGTGCTGGGCTGGCAGGGAAGGTGCTGGGCTGGCAGGGAAGGTGCTGGGCTGGCAGAGGCACACTGAGCTGAGGGAGTGGAACACTGGGTGCAGACACAAGTGCTGGGGTGCCAGCACCCGCTCCGTGCCCTCCGTTAGCAGAGAGCTGGCCCGGAGCTTGGGCCACAGGGCTGGGGGCTCAGGGAGGGATCCACCCCAGCATTTCTACTGCCTGCAAATGCCTAAGGCTGTGCTCCCAGCTGGTGCCAGCCCTGAGGTCCCTGGTGGGATCACTTGGACCTCTCACAGTGTCCTTGCAAGGTTATCCCATGTCACACTGGGGAAATGCCCATGCTGGGAGAGACAACAACACCCCCCTGACAAATCAGCCCAGATGGGAATGGTCAGGGCTACAGAGAGGCTGTCATTCTATCCAGGAAGAACAAACCCATGTGCCTAAGACTCATCTACCCAGCTCAGTCTTGGGGAGAAACATCAAGGAATGACCCCAGACATGGCTGGGAAAACCAGGTGGAGACAGCTCTGCTTGGTGAGGAGAGGGTGGCAGGCAATGGGGAAGCAAAGCACCAAGGAGTAAATCTGCAACTGAGCAGAGGGAGATCAGCAAAGACATAGAGGTTGTGAGTTCAGAGCCCAGGGAACCAAGGCAACCTCTGTTACATAACTCTACAAAAGCCTTAAACTCAGTTTTTTCTGAGAAATGAGTCGTCAGCAATGATTAAACCCCAGAGAAGCCATAAAGCAGCAGATATTGATAGGATGGGGTGTTGATACAGCAAAGCTCAGCAGTGCACGGGCGGATGAGGGTCACCCATGGTGAGCAGCAGAGAGCAGTGGGAGCTGGGCTGATGGGACACGGGGGCTTCAGAGCTGGGCTCACCCTCAGGAGCATCTCGGGGGGTTGGTGCATGGTCAGGATCCAAGGAAGAGCCTCCTTCTCCAGTGAGCAGCTCAGCAAAGCCACACTGGAAAACCATGGGTAAATCCAAACTCCTTCCCGAGCCTCTGAGTCTCCATGTGAGGGTGGACAAGCAGTCCTGGGGTGTGAGTTGCCTTCTGAGGCTGAACTGCTGAGCACAGAGCCAGGCACCAAGAGCCAGGAGTGAGGAAAGGACACCAGAATGGGCTGAGAGGGATGGGGGCTGTGGAGGCAGCTCCCAGCCTCCCACCACACCAAGCTCCCTGTTCACACTCACCAAAACAGCACCACCACAGCTGAGGGAACAGCCAGATTTGGTGTTTGACCCAGGAGGAGCTTTAAGATAATGTACCACAGAAAGACAAACAAGACAATTTGGTTCTGATACCAAATGCTGGCTGAAGCCACACACCCGATCAGCAACTGCAAGATTAGATAAGGACCGAACTTAGTCCCGCCCTGCACGTATTAATGCGAGCTCTCCGGACACCTGGGCTATTCCTGTTGCAGGGCACAAAGATGCTCCTGGCACTGGGGCTCCTCTTTGCTGCCCTGTCCTTGGGAAGATGCATCCCCCTGCAGCAGGGGCCCAACCGCAGCAAACTCCTCCTGGTGTCCTTCGACGGCTTTCGCTGGAACTACGACCAGGACGTGGACACCCCCAACCTGGACACGATGGCTGCGGACGGGGTGAAGGCCAAGTACATGACTCCTGCCTTCGTCACCCTCACCAGCCCCTGCCACTTCACGCTGCTGACCGGTGAGTGCCGCACGGGGGCTGGGGAAGGGCAAGGTCAAGGCTTGTGGTCACACACGAGGTCAGGAGGCGCCCAGAGGAGGCACTCAGACCCAGCAGCACACGGAGCTTCAGAGCACATGGGGCAAGAGATGCAGAAATGGTAGATTCAAACCAGATGCAAAGAAATTCTTCCCTGTGAGGGTGGTGAGGCACAGATTTCCCGGATTGCCCCATCCCTGGAAATGTCCAAGGCCAGGTTGGATGGGGCTTGGAGTCAGCCTGGTCCGGTGGGAGGTGTCCCTGCCCACGGCAGAGGTGGAGCTGGATGGTTTTTAAGGTCCCTCCCAAGTCAAACCATTCTGGGATTCTGTGAACTCAACCTGTATTTATCAAAGGTAAATAGCATCAGACCAACTCGATAGCCTCCTTTGATAAGATAAATCATTTTTTAAACAAGGGAGATGCTCTAAATTTAATCTTTCTGGACTTCAGTAGTGCATTTGATACAGTGCCACATGGGAAATCATTAGTTAAGATGGAGAAGATGAAGATTAGTACAAAATCTGTAATGTGGGGAAGTGAGAGGCTACGGGAAGAGGACAGAGTGGATGCTGAGAGGAGATTGTCAAGCTGGAGGGAGGGCACCAGGGGAATTCCTGAAGAATCGATTTTGGAGCCAATCTTATTTAAGATTTTAATTAATAACCTTGGCATAAAAGAGTGGAGCATGCTAATGAAATCTGCTGATGGGCAAAAGCAGGGAGGCAGCGTCAATACGAGGGAGGATGGGGATATCATACAGAAGGCACTGCGCAGTCTTCGGGACCAGAATAATAAAAATAGCACAAAATGTAAGAGTCAAAGTGCATCTCTCCCTCCTAATGGAAACTTCTGCTCACTGACATCACGGACTGCGAGCACCAGCAGTGAAACACCACGGGATTAGCTGAACACAGGGAACCTGCCCGTGCCCAGAGGGCAGCAGCAGCTGCAGGTGGTGCTGGGTCCAGGTGAGACCCACCAGACATGGACTAACCCAGGAGGGAAGCAGCTCTCCCCCAGCACCTCCCTCCCTGCCCTGGGACCCCGCTTGGCAGAGGGCAAGGGTAGGAAGGGGAAAAGAGGAAGGGGAGGCCAAAGGTCCCCTCTGCCCAAAGCCAGCCCAACACCCAATGTGGGAGTGAGACCCCCCAAGGCTCACCCCCTCACCCCCTCCCCTCATCTCTCCCACAGGGCGGTACCTGGAGAACCACGGGGTGATCCATAACATGTGGTTCGACACCAAAACAGGGGTCAGACTGCCCTACTACACCACACAAGGCATAAGCAGCTGGTGGGACAACGGCAGCCTGCCCATCTGGATCACTGCCCAGAGACAGGCAAGTGCGGCACCTCCTCGCACGCACAGACCCTGCACAGACCCGTCCAACCTGCCATCCTCCAGGAAAAGCTACAGGCAAGCCACCATCCCCTGTGCCCTGAGTTCCCAGCCTCCCCATGAACGTCAGGCTAATTAGACCAGCAAAAAACTGAAATCCCCAGACACAGGCAGGAATAATTATGATCATTCTACTAAAAATAGCAAAAAATAATAGATGCATTTCAGCTTTATTAAGACATTAATAAAGCAGGTTATCCTGTTCCTGTTTAAAGAAGCCTCAGCCAGTTCCTCGGGGAGCATCCTGAGCCTGGGAGCTCCACACGCCCCGAGGCACAGCCAGGGCAGTTGGGGGGCAGCATTGGGGGCCGCTCCCCTCTCCCCTGGGAGCTGCAGCAAGCCTGACACGCTGTGAAAGTGGCTTTGAGGCAGGGCATGAAACCCGGCCCAAGACCTTTGCCCACATTTACCGGCCAAATTGGCTCCTGTGGTGTCAGTGAAAAACACCTTAATGTCTTGATGGTGCAGAGCCAGAGGGTCCACACAAGGTGCAAGTGGGTCACTGGTTCCAAAGTTTTAACCGGTGTTAAAACACACTGAGGAACCGGGTGCAAGGGCAGTGCTTTCAATTAATCACTTCTAATTGGCAATGAGCAAGAAAACCTCATTAGCAGCACAGGTAGACATCGGGGACTGAATGAACTGATTGTGTTAGGAGGTGGCTGCACTGACAGATGGAAGGATGCTGCCGAGAGAGTTCAGGTGAGTTTATGGAATGCCTCCACTCGCAGGGTTTGAAGACAGGCTCTATCCACTTCCCCGGAACCAAAGCGAAATACCAAAAGGAAGAAGTGTACAAGAAGTTGGTGGAACCCCCGTTGTTCAACTACAGCAACGAAGCCAACTGGAAGCAGAGCATCAACACCGCCATGGAATGGTTCACAGCGGAGAACCTCGACTTCATCACGCTCTATTTTGGGGAGCCGGACTCCACTGGACACAAGTTTGGCCCTGAATCCATGCAGAGGAAAAACATGATCAAGCAGGTGGACAGAACCATCGGGTACTTGAGGCAGCGTATCCGGGAAAGCGGCCTGGAATCCAACCTCAACCTCATCATCACATCTGACCACGGCATGGAGACCGTCATAAAAACCAACGAGATTCACATCCAGACCATCAGCAACTTCACATTCAAAGACCTCGACTTTGAACTCTTAGATTATGGACCAAATGGACTCCTGGTGCCAAAAGAAGGGAAATTGGAGCACGTGTACTCAGTCCTGAAAAACGCCCACCCAAAACTGCACGTTTACAAGAAGGAAGAGTTTCCGAAGAGATTCCACTACGCCAACCATTCCCGGATCACCCCTCTCCTGTTGTACAGTGACCCAGGCTATGTGATCCATGGGGTAAGGTGCTCAGGCATGTCCTGCTGTCCTTTGGGATGTGCCTCTCTCTCCTGTCCCTCTCCCAGCACCCGCCCAGCTTTGGGCCTTTGTGCTAGCTGCTCTCCATACATACAGATATCAATTCCAGCTCTTTGTGTAAAGACCTTCTCTGCTGTTGAGAGCAAATATACAGAAACCCCGGAGCAGGAGTTGCATAAATGCAGAATATCCATTGTAGGATCCTCTCCTAGCCTGATTTAAGGGAAGGCCCAGCAGGCAGCTTCCCACTGGAAGCTCCTCAGTACAACAAAACCTGGACATGCCAGCGTTTAGGGAGGGAACTTGCAGGATGCAATTACCTGAGAGCGGTGTTTGGAGGCACCTCCAGCTTCTGCAGAGTTTAACACCAACAGATCAACTCCCAAAACTGAGAGGAACCAACCAAAACATCAGACCCCGCAGCTGCAGAACGTGGCACACAAGGTGGGGGCGTGCGGGGGCAGAGGGGTTGGGCTGCTCACCTTCCTGCTCTCCCCTCCAGAGGTACAAGGTCCAGTTCAATAAAGGGGAACACGGCTTCGACAATCAGGCCATGAACATGAAAACCATCTTCCGAGCCGTGGGACCCTCCTTCAAGAAGGGGCTGGTGGTGGAGCCCTTTGATAGCGTCAACGTCTACGCCCTCCTCTGCGAGCTGCTGGGCATCACCCCCGAGCCTCACGACGGCTCTCTGGAGGTCACCAAGCCCATGCTGCGTGAATCCACGGACAACGAGGGCAACGAGGGCAACGAGGGCAACGAGGGCAACGAGGGCAACGGTGAGCGGCGGGAGCCATGGGGGGCAGCGGGAGGGGCAGCAGGCACGGGCGGTGACAGCGGGCACCAGGAACAGCAACAGACACCAGAGGTGGCAACGGGCACCGGGAACGGCCCCGGGAGCGCACTGGGAGCCCACCGGGATAGCCCCGGGATCGCCCCGGGATAGCCCCGGGATCGCTCCGGGATCTCTCCGGGATCTCTCCGGGATCGCACCAGGATAGCCCCGGGATCGCCCCGGGTTCGCTCCGGGATCGCTCCGGGATAGCCCCGGGATCGCTCCGGGATAGCCCCGGGATCTCTCCGGGATCTCTCCGGGATAGCCCCGGGATCTCTCCGGGGTAGCCCCGGGATCTCTCCGGGGTCGCTCCGGGATCGCTCCGGGATCGGGCCGCGCGCTCCGCCGGGATTCCCGCGGGAACAGCGACACCTGGTGGCCGCTGTCTCCACCGGCTCCGGGCCCCGGGCCGTGCCCCCCCCGCGCTCGGCACCGGGCAGAGGTCCCCGCGGTCCGGGGGGAGCAGAACGAGCAGAACGGGTGGCGGGAGGTGACGGTGCCGTCCCCCGGGCAGGGCTGGCGCTCACCCCGCTCTCGGCACCGCAGGTTCGGGTCCTTCTCCGCACCCCGCCGAGAAGCTGCCGCTGATGCTGGGACTCGCTCTCTTTCTGGGATGCTGGGGAGGAGTTTTCTAACCCCCACCAGGTAACCCGCCCCAGGGACCCCCAGAAGGAATCCTGCCCGTTCGGGCCCGGTCTCCCCGAGTTTCCTCTGTCTGAGGAGGCCCCCGAGGCCGCTCCCCGCGGGACGCAGCAGGGGCTCCGCACCTCAGCCAGGACTCCGTGTTCTTCCTGCTCCGGCTCAGCATCGACACCACCCAGGGCATGGGCTGAGCTGAGAAGAAGGGGTGGGGAACCCTCTTGGACCCTGGCACTGCCCCCTGACCTGTCCCCTCTGTCCTCTGTGTGCAGCCAGGTCTGGACCGTGGCATGAGCAAGCACAAAGGGTGAACCCTCCCCTGATCGAGGCTCTGCACATGCAAGAACAGAGTTTGTCGCTTGCCCTCACAGTGCAAATTTGTCCAGAGAACCACCAGAACAAGCAACTCCTGATCCAATTCTCTGGCACTTCCAGCATGATGCACCTCCAGCTGATACCTACAGGCTGCAGACACCTGAAACGAGCATCAGCAGCGCCGTGCTCTCCTGTCCTGGCAGACCCCAAGCTCCAGGCAACTCTACCAGAACACATGGCAAGATGGGGAAGGACGTGGGTCACAAAGACAACCAGTCCCAGGCTCAGGGAATTGGACAAAATTCCCAAAACCTCTCTAAATTACTGACCCACGCTCCTCCAAGATGAGTCCCTGGGGGAGATGCCTCTCCCAGGCTGTGGGGTGACAGCAGCTCCACTGCTGTGGAAGTTGGCACTGATGTCCAGCCTGACACAGTCACCCCGTGTCTGCATCACCCCAAATGCAGGAGGCAGAACAGCTCCATGGTGGGTTTGGAGCAGAGACAGCAGATCTGTACTGAGTATCTAACCCAATTAAAACCTTGTTCTGAGCGAGCTGGGAGCCTCCTGTGAAAGGTGCCAGGTCCCACCCAGGGTGGGCACACTCAGCCTGGACCTGCCGAGGGGACAGAGGGGCCCCCTTGGTCCCTGCTGGCCACAGTGTAGGGCTGGCCATGGCACCCCCAGCCCGAAACCATCCCCAAATCAATCAGCACTTCCAGCTCTGGCCCCAAGAGGTGCCCTCAGCACCATCCTGCTTGTCTTTGTGCTTTGTGGCTCTGGACAAAACTGGGAAATGCCACCTGGGCACCCCTGAGCAGCAAACCTGCAGCAAGGATGGGCCTGGCTGCCCTGCTCCACGGCAGAACTGCTGAGACCTGCCCCAGCTCTGCGAGCTCTGGAAGGGGCGTTGATGTGTTTTGGAGAGACAGGGAACGTGGCAGTGCCAGGGCCAGTGCCAGTTTGCTCACAGCAAACAGCCCTGAGATTCCTGAGCCAGGGGCTGGCAGAGCCTGGGCCAGCTGGGCCAGGTTCCCAGGACCTCTCCACAGCAGGGCTCAGGAAAAAGCCCCCATACAAATCCAAACCTCCCTCTGCAGGAAGCAGCCCAGGGTCCTTCAACCTTAGGGGACAGGGAGCAAGACACCTCCATTCCAGCAGCCCCCATTCCAGCCCTTCCAGTGTGGCATTCCAGCACCTCCAGATGCTGCGGTGCCTTTCCCCAACCCTGTGCCTCATCTCAGGGGCTCGATAAACATCTGTTGCCATAGAGACTCGCTCACTGCATCGGCTTCACCCAACGAGATGAAACAAGAGCCGCACCCTCAGAAAAACAGGAAGAAAATGTTTGGCTTGAAACTGTGCTGGGGTGGGGGTCAGGGCGGCAGCAGCAGCAGGGAGGCTCTGAAAGGGGAGCCAGGGCTGTGCACACCACTGAAATTGATATTAATGATAAGAGTGCACAGAAACCTTCCCAGTTCTGCTGCTGGTGACCTTGGGCCTTCCCGTGCAGATCAGCACAGCTTTGCACATTCTACAGGCAGGGGCAGCCAGCTCTGTTGGGAAATTGGTATCCTGGAGATCCTGGCAGAGCCTGCAGAGCTCAGAACCCGCTGGTACCAGGTTCTGACCCTCCTCAGGCCCAGGGTGCCCAGCAGGTACAGAGCAGGATCACAAACCCATGGAATGGCTTAGGTTGGAAGGGACCTTAAATCCCATCCAGTGCCACCCCTTCCATGGCAAGGACACCTTCCAGTGTCCCAGGCTGCGCCAAGCCCTGTCCAGCCTGGCCTGGGGCACTGCCAGGGATCCAGGGGCAGCCCCAGCTGCTCTGGGCACCTGTGCCAGGGCCTGCCCACCCTGCCAGGGAAGAATCTCCTCCTAATGTTTAACCTAAATCTCTCTTCTCTGAAGTTTAAAACCACAACCCAGTCCTATCCCCCTCTGACCATTTAAAATGTCACTCTATCTTTTTTTTAAGCCTTTAAATACTGAGAAACCACCGTGCCCATAGGGCTGGTCCCAGTCTGGTTCCCAGACCCACACAGGGAACATGGAGTTTGTAGTGACCAACCTCCTGACACAAATCCTCACCCGAGAGCTGGTTTTTCCTCAGCTGGGAGCAGGAATTGACTTCCTGACTCAATCAAGAGCATTCGGGTGAGACAGAGCTCTGCCAGAAAAATCCCTGGTGAGGAAGGGACCATCCTGGAGAAAGGCTGAACCCTGACATATCCCTGCAGGAAGGTTTCCACTGCCCTTCATTCACGGGGTTTGCCGTGACTGTTTCCACTTGGGACGGCTGAATGTGGCACGCTGAACACGGTCCGTGATGCAGCCGCGTTCCCAGCACGGATCAGCCTCCGAGCCCTGAGCATACGGGAGCAGGGGGATCCCCCTCTCTAGCCCAAGACCTGATCCCGTTCCTCCATCCCCCCGTACCCATCTGCCATTGCCTCCTGCCCTGCCCTTGTCCCACAATGTGCCGGTGCCCCGGTGTGGAGGTGTCCCAATATCCCGGTGTTCCCGTGTCCCGGTGTTCCCATATCCCGGTGTTCCCGTGTCCCGGTGTCCCCATATCCCGGTGTTCCCGTGTCCCAGTGTCCCCATATCCCGGTGTTCCCATGTCCCGGTGTTCCCGTGTCCCGGTGTTCCCGTGTCCCGGTGTTCCCATATCCCGGTGTTCCCGTGTCCCAGTGTCCCCATATCCCGGTGTTCCCATGTCCCGGTGTTCCCGTGTCCCGGTGTTCCCGTGTCCCGGTGTTCCCATATCCCGGTGTTCCCGTGTCCCAGTGT